GAAGTTTTAAATTAATATCTTTAATAGTTATTGAGATATGTAAAACTTGCATGTTAACATTAACCAAGAGACTAAGTAGAAAAGGGGATATGAATCAGCCTTAATGCAAGACAGAGTTATGGAACTTGGTCAGTGACGAAGGGAGCGTACATACAATTATGACCCTCCAATTATGACCCTAAGTGCATGTGTAAAGTTTCAAGTAAATATCTTTGAAGACCTTTAACCAAAATTTCTAAGTTTCAAAGGGGCAAATAATTCTGCAAATATTGCAGGCAGAGTTATGCAATTTTGCAAACTGATGTGCATTGTTACTATAAAAAAGTATTTTAAATTTCAATTGAATATCTCAAGCAATCATTGAGATATTTCACTTTACAAAAAAACTTTAACCAAAACTTTTAAGTTACAAAGGGGCATAATTCTGTCAATATTGTAGGCAGAGTTATCCAACTTGTCAATCTGATGTACCTTGTTACTATAAATAAGTATTGTAAGTTTCAATTGAATATCTCAAGCAATAATTGAGATATTTGACTTTACAAAAAACTTTAACCAAAATTTCTAAGTTAAAAAGGGGCATAATTCTGTCAATATTGTAGGCAGAGTTATCCAACAAGTCAATCTGATGTACCTTGTTACTATAAATAAGTATTGTAAGTTTCAATTGAATATCTCAAGCAATAATTGAGATATTTGACTTTACAAAAAACTTTAACCAAAATTTCTAAGTTGAAAAGGGGCATAATTCTGTCAATATTGTAGGCAGAGTTATCCAACTTGTCAATCTGATGTACCTTGTTACTATAAATAAGTATTGTAAGTTTCAATTGAATATCTCAAGTAATAATTGAGATATTTGACTTTACAAAAAACTTTAACCAACGCAGACGCCGATGCGGACGCCGACGCCGGGGCGACTACAATAGCTCTCATATTCTTCGAATAGTCGAGCTAAAAACGTGTGCAAATACTTTAATCTTATCAGCTATTTTTAAATGATAAACATGTACAATCAAAATTGAGGAACTTCGCTGCAGATCTAGGATATTCATGTTTAAACATTGTGTTATTCACATTAAAATGACTTAGAATGAGACAGGGAGTGGGGGTGCTTTACTTACAGTTGGTCATATGAAGACATTGAGCTGAAGAACAATATAGCCCACTGCTACATTTGGCAGGGGAGATAATACCCCACTACTTAAAACAAGAGGGCCATGATGGCCCTGAGGTCGCTCACCTGTATATAGGCCTCCCCCCCATCCCCCTGGCAGGGCCAATTTTAACCGAAGGGCTTTTATTTGAACAAACTTGGTCGACACCCATAAGAAGATGTTTCATGCTAAACATCTAAGCTCCAGCTCATTGGGTTCTTTCAAAGAAATTTTTTTATGTTTTTACTATACACATATAGTGAAAAACAATGACACCCCTGGGGCGGGCCAGTTTTGACCCCAGGGCTTTTATTTGAACAAACTTTGTAGACACTCACTAGAAGATGTTTCATGCTTAATATCTAAACTCTAGCTATTTGGGTTTTTTAAAAGAAGATTTTTTAAGTTTTTGCTATACACATAGAAGGAAAATCAATGACCCCCGGGGCAGGCCAATTTTGACCCCAGGGCTTTTATTTGAACAAACTTGGTAGACACCCATTAGAACATGTTTCATGATAAATATCTTAGCTCTAGCTCTTTGAGTTCTTTAAAAGAAGATTTTTTAAGTTTTTACTATATGCATATAGGGAAAATCAATGACCCCCTGGGGCGGGGCCAATTTTGACCACAGGGCTTTTGTTTGAACAAACTTGGTAGACACTCATTAGAAGATATTTCATGCCAAATATCAAAGCTCTAGCTCTTTGGGTTCTTTAAAAGAAGATTTTTTAAATTTTTACTATATGCATATAGGGAAACTCAATGACCCCCTGGGGCGGGGCCAATTTTGACCCCAGGGCTTTTATTTGAACAAACTTGGTAGACACTTACTAGAAGATGTTTCATGCCAAATATCTAAGCTCTAGCTCTAAGGTTTTTTAAAAGAAGATAATTAAATTTTTTTCTTTCGGTTGCCATGGCAACCAGAGTTCTGCATGGAATAAAATTCTTTGAACAATTTTTAAAGGTGACCACCAAAGGAACTTCCTGTGAAGTTTGGATGAAACTGGCTTAGTGGTTTATGAGGAGATGTCATTTAAAGTAAAAGTTTACAGATGGACAGACGGACGCCGGACGAAAAGCGATCACAAAAGCTCACCCTGTCACTTTGACAGGTGAGCTAAAAATGGCGGGGTTTACGTTAACATTTGTTCATGTGGCAACTTTTCGGCCTACTAGCCTGGAATATCTAAATTGCCCATTGACATCCATCCAAAAGTGTCCTTACATGAATGAATCCTAAGCCCCAAGCAGGAGCAAAAAAAAATTAAAAGATTTAAAATGAGCTACCTTGACCAATTTAGCCAGTGTTTCAATAGAAATGGACCCCCAACAACCTCATAAATAATGTATCACCAGATAATGACTATCTTTAAAGTCACATTAAGCCACAGAAATTAATACATTTTAGTTTTTTCTTTCTGTAGAAAAAGATAAACAAATGTATTATCATGTTCCCAGAATAAATTAAACGCACTTTAATTACTTGAATAAAAAAGCACTGAAAAACAATCATAGCCAAATGTAAAGTTTGTTTGTTTCATTTCACGTCAAATGTAAAGAAAGTGGTACTTGGACTTCCATACAAATTACCAAATCATTATAATTGTGCTTATTACCACGGACTTTAAAAGCCTGGAAGGGATAATAAATCATAATTATTGAGATCGCAACATTTTCAATTAAGCTTCACCACCTGGATAAGCTAAAATCTTTCCTATTTACTATTTTTATGAATGATTCACAACAAAAAAATTTCACAATATTTATGAAATATCAACTTAGTAGTTAATAAGACATTACATGTATATATTTCTTTAATTGTTTGCATCTTTTTGACTTGATCATTTACAAAAAAAAAAAAAAAAAAAAAAAAAAATTAGTAAAACAACTGTACAAGTGATAATTAATAATTACAAATAGATATTTACAATTTTACTATTTACAAGAATTTATAATACAAAATGTGACCAGCACACACCATAAATATATCTTACATACAACTATTTACATTTTCAGCACAATTTATCTCTTGACATTTTTTTCTTGTTACTAGAATATTACTTGCATGCAACATATCTTCCATGGCATATAGCCATGTATTAAGTCTAAATATCAGGACCACAAAAATAACCATTAGTAGAATAATAGACAGTCATGTGTTGATTTTAGAGTCGTAGACAAGGTATGCAATCAATAATCATTTTCAGCTATAATTCCTGTGGAAAAACTCTGATCATGTCTTAAAACTGATACAGTCTAAAAGACTTAAAAGTCACCTTTTTAGACCACAATAATCACCATAATTATAATTAATGATAGTCATGTGCCAACTTTAGCATCCTGAACAAAATACACAAAATCAATTTTCAGCTATAAATCTTGTGAAAAAATCTGATTGTGTCTTATAATCAGGAAAACAGCAAATTGCATATTGTCAAGTATTAAGACCACAAAAATCTATTAAAGGTACTAATGTGCCAGCTTTAGTATCATAGACTAGATATTATATTTAATCAATAACAATTTTCTGCTTTAAATCTTGTAAAAAAGATCTTAGCCCGATCTTATAACTGATTTGTCTTATAGGTGGGTAAATAGCACAGAATTCAAGAGTATTACACTAACCCTTTTGCTATTGAATTTTTATTGGGATATCAAATGAGACAGATTATATGCTGGTGGCAAAGGCTAATCACATTCTTTTTCAGGACGTTAAGGAATAAAGTGATTAATATGCTCATTTTTTTTTGTCGTCAAGTTAAATTGAATTAGTAACATATTTCAAGAAACTGATTATCATAATGGTGATTGGCCTACAATTGATAATGTAAAAAAAAGTTTAGGATAATACTTAAAAACTAGCTAAATTATAAAAAGTCTGCCCCCTTCTTTCACAAAACTTGCAAGTAACCCATATTCTGTACCATATTTATTGGGTTACGTGTATTACTGAATTATTTTTGCATAGTCAAATATTAAAATGTAAACAATTATGATAAAATGTAAATTTATTTTGACTTGCGCCTGTGCACTCACCATTTACACTTGGATGGGCATCATGTCACATTAAATGTGCAAAGTATTGTTTGATTTTTTTGTTTTTTTTTAAGTGACATTATGCTCATATTTTTATAGTCAAGTTGAGCTGAATTGACTTTATATTTCAAAAGATTGACTGTTGAAATGGTGTTTGACCAAGAGTTGATATTGGAAAACGTTCAGGATAAAATTATAAATCTGCCTAAAATATAAAAAGACTGTCCCACTCATTTTATAAACTGAAACGGTAACTTCTAATACATATTTAAAGAATTTTACTTGGATCTGTGCATTATTTATTGTTTATGGTACGTAAATTATCAAATTAAAAGGAATTATGGTAAAATAAAAACTTATTTTGATATTCACCTGTTCACTCACTTTATACCATTAGATGGGCATAATGTCACTTTAACAGAAACCATAGAAACAACACATTTCTTCACCTAACCAAGACTTGAATTATATCAATATAAAAATTCTGAATCTCACTACTGACAAATAAGGTGTAGGCTTTCCGCACAACAGTCCTCTCTCCTCTTGCCATGATAGATGTAACAGAAAAAAAACACAGCACTTTTGCTCTAAAGTGCAATTTGTTCATGCATAAGTCCTGTTACAAAATCAAACCATAACATTCGGGAGTGTTTCAATAAGCTTAAAGCTTCCAACAACAATTGAACTGAAATAAATACTGTATAAAATAACTACAGTATATATATACATATATGTATGTTGCTGCTGCAAAATCAAACCTCACACAACCGGTTTCCTTAATTTGACCATTCACATGTTACAGTTTTTTATACTCTCTAAATAATACAAAACATGCCAATCTTCATAGCACAAAACTATAACACAAACTCTATCACATATTTCTTATTTTCAAAATGTCAGATATTGTTCCGCAAAACCTTTCCGTGCATCGATGTCAACGTAACCATAACGTCTACACATAAAACCTCAAGACAGTTCAAATCCAGTGTTAGAATGAATGGCGTATTTCAGTTTCTCGCGTAAAGTCGCTTTTTTCTGATAGTTCGGAAGTTTGAGCAAATTAAAACACGTGGACGAAGTTGGGAGGCGTCCTACAGGATCACGTTTCTTAATATTGAAGAATCCCTTAAGAACACTGCCAACAGTATCCCCGGTGTCCTGTCAACAGGAAAAGAAAATTAGTACTTGAAACAATTCAGAGATGTAAAATTATCAAATCTTCTTCTTATCTCATTCTCTGAGTGTCAAAATACGAAACAGCCACCAAACAATCCCAGTCAACTAATGTCTTTTTGTTTGTTTATCTTCTTTATATGCCAATTTTAAAACATTTTTCTTTTCATATCTTGGTGATTATTTCACCTGAAAGGCTTTCCTGGGAAATTTACCAATGATTATCAATTTCTACTGGAGTGACCTACTATTTATCCCGCATGATTTCTGAATTAGCGGTGAGAAACAAATAACCAGTAGGCTCAATAAATAAATGTCGATGACCAACTTTAAGAAAGAAATTTCGCACCAGCAACCTTACATAAATTCATTACATGGGTTAAATATAAAATTATATCATGTGAGCCTCTGGAGTTTGTATCATTTCATTCCTGGAGTTTCATAAATTTAGTAATGTAAACATTAATGTAATTTTCTTTTTATAAATCAGATACCTAAAAAAGAACTATTTTTCATTGAAGAGAATTATTTGTTTTTAATTGATGGTCATAAAATGTATTGCTAAAATTTAGAGTGTTTTTACACTATGTTGGTATGACGCAAGTAAAGTCATGCCAAAATACATGCATGACCATGCCATACCATTTTTTACAGTCATAAAAGCTGCATGAGTATGTCATTAATAGATATAGATACCTGATCATCACTGACTTCTACACATCTTATAGAAAATGGCGGCTCAAGATGGGCAAACCCTAACAGTGGAGCCTTTGAACAACTTGTTACAAACTGAAACAAAAATAAACAATAATAATAATAAAGTTTTAGCAAGCTTTAGTTTAGCAACAAATTTTTTGTACATTTTTAAAACCAGAAGTGTTTATTTTAGTTTGCATATAAGACACACTGACACAGGAAAGGACACAAATGGTGACTTTCCAGCTTTACTTGTAGAGGAATAACTAAGGTGCCCCTTCATTCATTATTTCCAGCATAAGTAGGTACCTGAGGAGTAGAACTGTCAACACTCTGTAAGTTAGCTGAATATATATTTACCATGAAATAATCCCAAATTCTCTGGTGGGACTCAAACCCGCAGAGGTAAGGGGCAATTGGTTTGAAGTTCAGGAGCAGAACCATTGGCCATAGACACCCCTGATGTAAGAGCTAGTAGCCATTGCTTTGTTAATTAAGACAGTTTAGTATCGAAATATAAAAAAATCTATGCAACAGAATAGTCTAATCAGACTATTTATTTATTTCTAATGATGATTTGTTAAGCACATTAAGCACATGGGGAAATAATTATGGCATAATTATATCCAGCAAATAACTGAATAGAACGGCAATAACTCACCCTTAACTAGCTGAATTGCTTAATAGAACTTGCCAAGCAAACACTTTCTTTTAAAAAGGACATTGTCAATTTTGGATTTACCATGCTGAATAATTAAAATCTTAGCCAGCAGCATAGAGCCAGGTCAGCCTGCACTGCAAAGATGTGCCAACTGACCTGGCACTACACCCTTGGCAAAGGCTAATTACATGTACTTTCTCCTTCAGCAGGCTAGGAATTAAACATAGAATGTAACTATATATAACCTTGAGGAAAGCTGCCCTGTCTGCTTGATTAAAATCTTTCTCTAGTATGTCCCACAGCCAGTTAATCACTTTATGGTTATTATGGTAACCTCCATAGTACTGTGTATGTTTCCTGAAATAAATATTGAAAATGGTTTCAATTTACATTGTAGTTTTAAACTTTTTTAGACATTTATGCAGTAAATTTTTTTAGACATTTACGTAGTAAAGTAATTTACATGGTGAAATTCAATACTATATCTTAATATTGCTGTTGATTTTTGTTAAGTTATACAAGACAGGGTACAAAACAATTATTAGAACATGCAAACATTAAAAATTACTCTCAGACAATGCAAGCCTCTTATGGCACTAAATACTACAAGAGGGCCATGATGGCCCTGGGGTCGCTCATCTGTACATAGGCCCCCAGGGCGGGGCCAGTTTAAACCAAAGGGCTTTTATTTAAACAAACTTGGAAGACACCAATTAAAAGATGTTTCATGATGTTAAGTTTTTACTATACACAAATAATGACAAGAGGGCCATGATGGCCCTGAGGTCGCTCACCTGTATATAGCCCCCCCCCCACCCCCCAGGTCAATTTTTACCCAAGGGCTTTTATTTGAACAGACTTGGTAGACACCCATAAGAAGATGTTTCATGCTAAACATCTAAGTTCTAGCTCATTGGGTTTTTTAAAAGAAGATTTTCAAGTTTTTACTATACACATATAGTTAAAAACAATGACACCCCTGGGGCAGGGCCAGTTTTGACCCCAGGGCTTTTATTTGAACAAACTTTGTAGATATTTACTTAAAGATGTTTCATGTATAATATCTAAACTCAAGCTATTTGGGTTTTTTCAAAGAAGATTTTTAAGTTTTTGCTATACACATATAAGGAAAATCAATGACCCCCGGGGCAGGGCCAGTTTTGACCCCAGGGCTTTTATTTGAACATACTTGGTAGACACCCATTAGAACATGTTTCATGCTAAATATCTTCGCTCTAGCTCTTTGAGTTCTTTAAGAGAAGATTTTTTAAGTTTTTACTATATGCATATAGGGAAAATCAATGACCCCCTGGGGCAGGGCCAATTTTGACCCCAGGGCTTTTATTTGAACAAACTTGGTAGACACTCATTAGAACATGTTTCATGCTAAATATCTTAGCTCTAGCTCTTTGGGTTCTTTAAAAGAAGATTTTTTAAGTTTTTACTATATGCATATAGGGAAAATCTATGACCCCCTGGGACGGGGCCAATTTAGACCCAATGGCTTTTATTTGAACAAACTTGGTAGACATTCACTAGAAGATGTTTCATGCCAAATATCTAAGCTCTAGCTCTTACGGTTCTTTAAATGAAGATTTTTTAAGTTTTTACTATATGCATATAGGGAAAATCAATGACCCCCGGGGCGGGGCCAATTTTGACCCCAGGGCTTTTATTTGAACAAACTTGGTAGACACTCACAAGAAGATATTTCATGTCAAATATCTTAGCTCTAGCTCTTTGGGTTCTTTAAAAGAAGATTTTTTAAGTTTTTACTATATGCATATAGGGAAAATCTATGACCCCCTGGGGCAGGGCCAATTTTGACCTCAGGGCTTTTATTTGAACAAACTTGGTAGACACTCATTAGAAGATGTTTCATGCTAAATATCTTAGCTCTAGCTCTTTGGGTTCTTTAAAAGAAGATTTTTTAAGTTTTTACTATATGCATATAGGGAAAATCAATGACCCCCTGGGGCGGGACCAATTTTGACCCCAGGGCTTTTATTTGAACAAACTTGGTAGACATTCACTAGAAGATGTTTCATGCCAAATATCTTAGCTCTAGCTCTTGGGTTCTTTAAAAGAAGATTTTTAAGTTTTTACTATATGCATATAGGGAAAATCAATGACCCCCTGGGGCGGGGCCAATTTTGACCCTAGGGCTTTTATTTGAACAAACTTGGTAGACACTCATTAGAAGATGTTTCATGCCAAATATCTAAGCTCTAGCTCTTACGGTTCTTTAAAAGAAGATATTTAAAGATTTTTCTTTCGGTTGCCATGGCAACCAGAGTTCTGCATGAAATGGAATTCTTTGAACAATCTTGATAGAGCTTCATACAAAGAGTATTCCTGCCAAGTTTCATTAACATTAGCCTTGCGGTATCATAGAAGATGTCCTTAGAATATTTAAAATGTGGACGGACGACAGACGACGGACGCCATTTGGTTGGCCATCCTAAAAGCTCACCTGCACTTTGTGCAAGGTGAGCTAAAAAACAATGACTTTTGCCCCCCCCTCCCCCTGGCAGGGCCAATTTTGACCCAAGGGCTTTTATTTGAACAAACTTGGTAGACACCCATTAGAACATGTTTCATGCTAAATATATTAGCTCTAGCTCTTTGCGTTCTTTAAAAGAAGATTATTAACTTTTTACTCTATGTATAAAGGGAAAATCAATGACCCCTGGGGCGGGGCCAATTTTGACCCCAGGGCTTTTATTTAAACAAATTTGGTAGACACCCATTAGAAGATGTGTCATGCTAAATATCTTAGCTCTAGCTCTTTGGGTTCTTTAAAAGAAGATTTTAAAGTTTTTACTACATGTATATAGGGAAAATCAATGACCCCGGGGCGGGGCCAATTTTGACCCAAGGGCTTTTATTTGAACAATCTTGGTAGACACCCATTAGAAGATGATTCATGCCTAATATCTTAGCTCTAGCTCTTTGGGTTCTTTAAAAGAATTTTTTTAAAGTTTTTACTATATGCATAGAGGGAAAATCAATGACCCCCTGGGGCTGGGCCAATTTTGACCCCAGGGCTTTTATTTGAACAAACTTGGTAGACATCCATTAGAACATGTTTCATGCCAAATATCTAAGCTCTAGCTCTTTGGGTTTTTTAGAAGAAGATTTTTTTAAGTTTTTACTATATGCATATAGGGAAAATCAATGACCCTAGGGCGGGGCCAATTTTGACCCCAGGGCTTTTATTTGAACAATCTTGATAGACACTTATTAGAAGATGTTTCATGCTTTATATCTTAGGTCTAGCTCTTTGGGTTCTTTAAAAGAAGATTTTTTAAAATTTTTACTGTATGCATATAGGGAAAATCAATGACCATCTGGGGCGGGGCCAATTTTGACCCCAGGGCTTTTATTTGAACAAACTTGGTAGACATCCGTAAGAACATGATTCATGCCAAATATCTAAGCTCTAGCTCTGTGGGTTTTTTAGAAGAAGATTTTTTTAAGTTTTTACTATATGCTTATAAGGAAAATCAATGACCCCCTGGGGTGGAGCCAATTTTGACCCCAGGGCTTTTATTTGAACAATCTTGGTAGTCACTTATTAGAAGATGTTTCATGCTTAATATCTTAGGTCTAGCTCTTTGGGTTCTTTAAAATAAGATTTTTTAAAGTTTTTACTATATGCATATAGGGAAAATCAATGACCCCCTGGGGCGGGGCCAATTTTGGCCCCAGGGCTTTTATTTGAACAATCTTGGTAGACACTCACTAGAAGATGTTTCATGCCAAATATCTAAGCTTTAGCTCTTTGGGTTTTCTAGAAGAAGATGTTTAAAGTTTTTTCTTTTGGTTGCCATGGCAACCAGAGTTCTGCATGGAATGGAATTCTTTGAACAGCTTTGTTAAGGCTTCACATAAGGAACATCCCTGTGAAGTTTCATTATGATCTGCCTTATGGTTTCAGAGGAGATGTCAGTTGAAAAGTGTGAACGGACAACGGACGATGTACGACGGATGACAGACGACGGACGAAGAGTGATCCTAATAGCTCATCCTGAGCATATGCTCAGGTGAGCTCAAAATGATTGCACCATATACATCAGCTAAACCCAAAAATCTAATTCTATGAGATAATACTACACTATTCTAAGTGTAAGAATAACAAGAGGGCCATGATGGCCCTGAAGTCGCTTACCTGTATAAAGGCCCCCGAGCGGGGCCAGTTTAAAACCCAGGGCTTTTATTTGAACAAACTTGGTAGACACCCATTAGAAGATGTTTCATGCTACACATCTAAGGTCTAGCTGGTCAAGTTTTTTCTTTACACATATAGTTAAAAACAATGACACACCTGGGGCAGGGCCAGTTTTGACCAAAGGGCTTTTATTTGAACAATCTTTGTAGACACTTACTAGAAAATGTTTCATGCTTAATATCTAAACTCTAGCTATTTGGGTCTTTTCAAAGAAGATTTTTAAGTTTTTGCTATTCACATACAAGGAAAATCAATATCACCAGAGCTGGGCCAATTTTGACCCAAGGGCTTTTATTTGAACAAACTTTGTAGACACTCACTAGAAGATGCTTCCTGCTTAATAACTAAACTATAGCTATTTGAGTTTCTTCAGAGAAGACTTTTTAAGTTTTTGTTAAACACATATAAGGAAAATGAATGACCCCCGGAGCGGGGCCAATTTTGACCCCAGGGCTTTTATTATAACAAACTTGGTAGACACTCACTAGAAGATGTTTCAAGCTTAGTACCTAAACTCTAGCTATTTGTTCTTTTCAAAGAAGATTTTTAAAGTTTTTGTTCTACACATATAGGAAAAATCAATGACCCCCGGGGCAGGGCCAATTTTGAACCCAGGGCTCTTATTTGAACAAACTTGGTAGACATCCATTAGAACATGTTTCATGCTAAATATCTTAGCTCTAGGTCATTGGGTTCTTTACAAGAAGATTTTTAAGTTTTTGCAAAACACATATAAGGAAAATCAATGACCCCGGGGCGGGGCCAATTTTGACCCCAGGAAACTTGGTAGAAATCCATTAGAACATGTTTCATGCTAAATATCTTAGCTCTAGCTCTTTGGGTTCCTTAAAAGGAGATTTTTTAAGTTTTTACTTTATGCATTTAGGGAAAATCAATGACCCCCTGGGGCGGGGCCAATTTTGACCCGAGGGATTTTATTTGAACAAACTTGGTAGACACCCATTAGAGGATGTTTCATGCTAAATATCTTAGCTATAGGTCTTTGGGTTCTTTAAAAGAAGATTTTTTAAGTTTTTACTACATGTATATGCATATAGGGAAAATCAATGACCCCCCGGGCGGGGCCAATTTTGACCCCAGGGCTTTTATTTGAACAAACTTGGTAGACAGCCATTAGAGGATGTTTCATGCTAAATATCTTAGCTCTAGGTCTTTGGGTTCTTTACAAGAAGATTTTTAAGATTTTGCAATACACATATAAGGAAAATCAATGACCCCGGGGCGGGGCCAATTTTGATCCCAGGGCTCTTATTTGAACAAACTTGGTACGAATCCATTAGAACATGTTTCATGCTAAATATCTTAGCTCTAGCTCTTTGGGTTCTTTAAAAGAAGATTTTTTAAGTTTTAACTATATGTATATAGGGAAAATCAATATCCCCGTGGGGTGGGGCCAATTTTGACCAAAGGGCTTTTATTTGAACAAACTTGGTAGACACCCATTAGAGGATGTTTCATGCTAAATATCTTAGCTATAGGTCTTTGGGTTCTTTAAAAGAAGATTTTTTTAAGGTTTTACTATATGCATATAGGGAAAATCAATGACTCCCTGGGTCGGGGCCAATTTGGACCCCAGGGCTTTTATTTGAACAAACTTGGTAGACATTCACTAGAAGATGTTTTATGCCAAATATCTAAGCTCTAGCTCTTTGGATTTTTTAGAAGAAGATATTTAAAGTTTTTTCTTTTGGTTGCCATGGCAACCAGAGTTCTGCATTGAATTAAATTCTTTGAACAATTTTCAAAGGTGATCACCAAAGGAAAATTCATGTGAAGTTTGGATGAAATTGGCTTAGTGGTTTATGAGGAGATGTCATTTAAAGTAAAAGTTTACGGATGACGGACGGATGGACTGACGGACGGAAGTTCTCACAGGACAGTAATTATGTGGCTACTCTATTGTTTTCTCTATTGTTCTTTTTAGCCACACAAAAGAAAATAGCCACATAAAAGCATTACGGAATGAATGACATCAAAGAGAAAGAACAGTTACCTATTGTCCCTCTAGCCACATAAATACTCTCCTGTGAGTGTGGACGGACGGATGCCGGACGAAAAACAATCACAAAAGCTCACCCTGTCACTTTGGGACAGGTGAGCTAAAAAAAACTCAATAAAAGGTGACCCGTCAAAAGCATTAATCACAATAAAATTACATGAAAATTGCAGACTCAGTTTAATTGAGTCTGTATATGAGAGATAATGAAAAAGTGTAAAATCCCTCAATGCCCTCCAGCACAGGTTTGAGCGGTATTCAATTTTCTACAAGTGCTGAAGTCAATGATACCAAAACACCATAAAAATATAACAACACTGAAGTGAAGTACAAGGCAAATTTCAGACTTATCTATATCTCAAGTACACTATACTGTTCTAAGTATTATAATAAAAGAATTCTATTTATAGCTCAAGTACACTGTTTCCCAGCTTGCAATGAGTTCATTACCTGAGGTCACTGGTATCCATATCCGCTGTATCTCCAGAGATCAGTTTCTGTAACTCCGGTGACGAGAACATACTTAACCAATCAGAATTCACGACAGATTTAAATCCCTTGATAAACGCTAGCGTCTGATCCCTGATCTGTCTGTACATACGGAAATGTGCCATCAAGTGTACGTAACGTATCCTACAAAATTATGTGTCACAGTGTTTTACCATAATAAAAATAATACCATAGAATTTAACAATTTATAAAAAACAATAAACTCGTTAAAATATTTGATGGTGTCTTAAAATGCTATTTAAAGTTCTGAAACAGATTTTTTTGTATGTTCTTTGCACAAGGTGATTGTGTTTTATAACACATTGTTTTTCAAATATAAAAGTTCTTAAGCAAGAAAATATACACAAGTTTTCCTCATATGTGTATGTCCCTATCTACTACATCTTTCCCTTTAGTTTAATAAAAACATCTGTACAACAACATCCTTTACTGAGAGGTATTGACTGCTCTATGGAGGAGAGTAAAGTCATTTTTATTATTTGGCAGGATTATTAAGGTTATTGCTTCTAAGAGGTTGGCCTTTTAAAGATTACATTGTATGTACTAAAACTGACAAACCTGTTGTCGTTGGTTACAGCTACAGCTTTCCCGCCAGGTACCAGCTCATGAGTCTCTAGTCTCCCCATAATATCTTCATCATAACAGAATGTAAGGTCAAGGTCACTCACATCATCATCAAAATGCTGTGGATAAAGATTATTCAAAAATTTAAGTAGGAGAATCCAACTACATGTAGCTGTCATTTAAGAATGTGTAATGAGAATGTATTTACATAATAATGATTCCATTGTAATGTTAACCTTATGATCATGTATGTTAGTGGTAATTATAATAACTTACTAAGCTATGTACAGTAAAAAATTTCAAATATGCCTCTCACTGGTAATAAAACAGCATTCATCATGCCAAATTATGGCCCTCCCACCCCCCTCTCCACGAAAAAAACAAAAAACACCCACCAAAAATCAGGCCTCTTTGCCTAAAACTCTATATATTACTTTCTGCAAAAGCAAGTATTTCCATAATTAAACTTACTTAAATTAATTTATTCAGTCCAAATCAGTTAATATATTACCTTGATATATGTCAGATTCTTGGCAAGATCTGGATCCAGGGACGGTAATTCATCAAGAGAGCTGTACGTTGAACTAAAACTGTGACCCAGAATCTGAGTCAAGAAGAATGGAGCAAATGGGACCTCCACGATGATGCCCTAAAATACAAGAAAAAAAAATTACGCAACATAAAATCTTTTAACTTTGTAAGCTTATCTATTTATATTCTTTCCGAAAAATATATTTGCTGCCTGTGAACTTAACTATTGATAAATACTAAAAAAATCTCTCTCAAAATATTTTTTATGATGCATTTTATTCTGATTACATGTAATATTCATGTATATTAAATAACAAGAGACTTAATAACAAATAACTAGATAATAACTTATGCATAACTTTCAGAAATGTACGAGTTGAACACTAACTAATTCTTCTGAAGTCCTTCTTTTTTCAATTGTGTTAATGTCACACCGACATAGTATCAGTCATATTGCAACTTTCCAGCTTTACTGGTGAAGGAAAACCGCAGGTGGCCTTCAAAGCTATATTTCAGGTATAAACGGGCACTTAAGTATTTCTTTAAAAAAATTTAAGTCTAGGGGCTGTAACTCTTGTATTGGTTACCTCATAAACAGCCTTGGCAAGCATTTTACCGACAAACTCAAACAAGAAGAGATGGTTTTCCTGTATGTAGGAGGTAGAAGATGGATACAGTTTCTGCTCACTCGTCACCTGTAATATAATATAGTTTAAGATTAAACTTTAAGATCTTTTTTTGCTGAATTTTAAACAATATTTGTCATGATCAAAATCGTAATGTTTGAAAGTAATTACACTGTGTTTCTTTGTCTGAAATTTTGAGATAAAAATTTAAATATGAAACAAATGCATCAAAGATTATCACTGTTGTAAGATGTGTGAGCTGTTCTTTCTTATCAACAAATAAAGACAATGTTTTCATTTTTGAATCTTATCTGTTTTTCTGGTTTTACTTCACACCTACAGTTTAGGTCATGTGGTGTCCAAACAGAAAGGATGATTTTGGCTAACCTTGGGATTACCAAACTTCAAAGCAAAACCAGTTCACCTGCTGGAGCTAAGAGATGCATAGACTCTAGCTATTTAAACACATTTAGTCACCTCTTAATGATCATGATTCTATGCCTCAATCATTAAATAAAGAGATCCCCTCATTTAAAAGGGGATTGAATCTCATCTAGCCAACTCTTATGTAAATACCTGTCAAATTTAAGCAAACTGCAACTAAAATTACCAGTCACTCAGTTCATAAAATCTTGAAAAATACTCTGATTTTTGTTTTATTGAATTAAATGTTCATAAAATACAAAATGTAGACTTGTGTGAAATATTTATAAATCTTACCTTAAACAGGTTCAAGGATGGATCAAACACTTTTGTTATAGTTTCCTCAAGGAATTCTTTAAATACACCGTCCTGATCTATACCGGCCTCGTCCAGTCCCTGTTCATTGATAAACCTTACCCTGATTACCCCTTTAATAGCTCGAGGAGGAACCTGGGCAAGCTGCCTGTAACCATCCTGCAATCATAAAGTACAAAATTTTTGTGTTTTATTTCTTTTTCTAGTTGTTACGCTGATTTTAACACATTTTTTTTTGGTCATATTTCGATAGCCGATCCACATAACAGGCTTTTCTAACAACATTAGCTTCTTAATCTTAGTCACACATCTCTTTAAGAGAACAGGTGCCCTGGCGGTTAATTTATTTGTCTCTTTGACTAGTATCATGGTTTCGAGCCAGGGTAAAGACATGTTAAAGTGAGAGTCATTGACCATTCTGGTAAGCCTGGACAAACCAGTATGGTTTATAGATACAGTTGACTCTCGGTAACTCGAAATCCAAGGGACTGGGTATTTTACTTCGAGAGAAACGGAATTCGAGTAACGTGGAACTACCGCCATAACGTTGACTTCGTACATGTATATACATGTACCTGATTGAATGTGCAAAGAAGAAGGTTTCTTATTGTTGTTAGCGGCAATGCTGCAATATTTAACCATTGAAATGACGGTAAATCACTTTCAACTACAAATTATAAATGAACAAAAATATATCATTCAAAATTTAACACATGTATATTAATAGTGAAACATAAACACACAATTATATTTGATTTAATTGATCATCGGACGAAAACGAAATTAGCAACTATCGTGAACCGGAAGTACAAATTAATGTATGCAATATGACGGAACATTAATTATACAAATATCATTTACGTTGATAATACACATCAATACCTAGGCTGTTATTTGACTAACACCCGTCAGACTGGCACGAGTCAACTTTTTTTAAAGAAATGTAATTAAATTTTAATTTAGTTATCTAACTGTTAAAACCAAATAAGTCGTGAAACGGATTAAAGACACTTTTACGACGTGTTAATAAAACATGATGACCGGCAATTAAAATTACTATGAAACGTGTAAATCACGAGTGACAACATCTCACCTTGATGTCGCCGACCTTTGATCAGTCGGCTGTTTTCACACTTCGACTAATTGAGATGAAAATATGTGGACTTTAATTGACGGGACCAAATTTTCTTTTCGACTAAACAGAAGTCTCGGTAAGTCAAAATTTGACCTAAGCGGAGTTAAAATACAAAGATAAAGAAGGAAATTTGACGGGACTTAAGAAATTATTCGACTAAGGCGGAATTTTGAGTAAAGCGATTTTGACTTATTGAGAGTCAACTGTAATTAGATATTGAGAGAAGAATATTTTATCAATATATAATTCAAACCAACCTCTACTATCCGGCTTCTATGTACTGTAATCAAGGTGGACTGTGGTGTGGCACTGACAGATTCACACAAACCTAACACTTCTCTCTCCTTCTGAACACTCTTCCTGAATATCTTAACTCTCTATAAAAATAGAACACATATTGATATATGTTATTATATTCATTATCTCAAAGTTTAGAAAATCTATGAAACTATTTTTTGTTGTTTTTTTTTTGTTTGGGGGGGGGGGGGGGTTGGAAGATAGGGAATAAGATTTTCTGTTAGCTTCAACACAATAGAGTTGTATGGCTACTTCAAAGCTGTACTGGTAAAGGAAAACCTCAGGGCATTAGATGAAACTTATAAAATAGAAATGAAAATATTGCTGTTCAATTGTAGATCTCTGTATATTTCATATTTTTTGCCTTGACTTATTTGTTTTAAGCACAAGTAAATATACCCCCATAGGCATCTTGTCATATGATTTACCTTAAGTTTATACATATTTTTTAATTATTTATGTGAAACCAACATATTACTGTAAAAGTCATATTGCCACTGTCCAACCTTACTGCATGAATATATTATATGCCTCTCTGTGAAAACTATTTTGGACTAAAAGCTGGCAACCTTGTAGAACCTTCCATATGCTACCTAGACAGCTCCCTCACAACTATGAATCCAAAGTCCCTGGTTAGATTTAAACCAATGGTGATGAGGGAAAAATCATTAAAATTTTTTGCTTCAACCTCTTGGCTTCTCTAAGAACCAGTCTTTCCATAAGCCACAACAGAAATGTTCTCACTAAATTAACAAATATATTCTTCAAACCTACCTCTCCAAATGGAATGATGTGTGGAATTTTCTGCAGGATAAACTGAGCCAGTTTTCTCCCTTTATCTAACTCGCTAAGGAAACTGCTAGGCTTTACATCTCTGCAAATAAAATATAATTGCTGAGTAGTGTACATTGGTATAAATAGGTATAGGTATAATTTGTTCTATAAAGTATTCTTAAAAAATGTTTATGAAACAGGTCAATATAGAAACTCATAAAGCAGTATATCTTTATAACTTTCCTAATGAATCCTCAAGTGTGTTTCACTCTTCAAGTTTTTTCACTCTTCAAGTATTTTTCACTCTATCAAAAAACAATAAAAAGTAAAAATTCTTAGTCTTTTACAACTTAACTATAAATGTTGGTATTTTAATGCTCTCAATAAACTATGGCAACTTTTTGTTTTAAAGATGAAGGTTCCAGGTTTTTCTCTGTAAAAATTTTTATACGCAAACAACTGCAGGTGTAGAACATGTAGAATAAGCAAACAGAAAAACAGGCATAGATCCTGACTCATCCAAGCAGGATTAGACCGCTAAAACAATTGTAGAACCACCAAACAGGCATAAAACCAGTAACACAGACACAAAACCAAAGGCACTGCATGACCAAAGTGATCATAGAACCACAATGACAGACATATTATCACCGAAACAGTTTTAAGAACCCCAGAAGCAAGCAAAAATCCATGAAACTAAATAGGTCAAGAACCACTAAAATGTTGGCACAGAATAACCAAAGTACAAAATGTTGGTACTGAACTTAAAAGAACTACAGAAGTTGAAGAGGCAAGCTGAATGTAAAATACTAGTAACAAGGAAAAATAATCTGATTTATTTAAAAATATTAAAAAGAGTGATTTTTTCAGGCATAAAAAAGTTACAACTATAAACATACTTTATAAGCCAGTGGTCTTTGGGAGCATAGTTCCTGCGGCTGTCACTCTCGTACAGTATCATCAACAACCCTCGGGCTGACGTAAATACATCGCTACTACTTGCCGTGCTGATTGCTGTAAAATTTATATACTATGACCATTTAAAATTGAATGGCAGTGAATCAATAAATTTATAAATCTATGCTAAGAAAAACTGTTCATATATAAATTGCACTTATAAATATAATGTACTTTTTAGCAACACTCTTTTGTAAAAAATGCTGTAAAGTTTAACTTTTATGATTTTTTATTTAATATATTTTTGAAAGAAAATTTCCATGGATTTAATAAATTTCATAATTAAAGATAAGAAAAGTCAAATATTTTAAGAGGAGCAGTGGCCTAGTTGTTAAGGTGTCTGCTCACTACATAGGAATCATGTTTCTTTATATGTGGACTCAAACGTGATTAATATAAGTTGCAAGAACTTGTTTCACAATCTAGCTTAAATAAATATGTTTAAACCAAAAAATATTTTTTAACTAAAGCTAGTTTAGGAAACCATATACATACACTTCAATTTGTATATAACATGCAAAAGGAAATGGCTGAGTCAGCAGATTAAAATGAATTAAAAACTTACACATAAGTCCACCCCAGACAACTCTAAAGACAAACAGGTTAAGGAATTCACTCATCTTTATGTAGTCTTCTACTTTAAATAATTTCTGATGCTCAAACATCTCTATGTGATCCAATGTGCTGTAAAAGATAGGGGAATGTTGATTTCATGGGTAAAAGTTGGAAATTTTAGAAAATCCTAAAAATCCTGAATTAAGCAGATTTTTCTATAGTTTCAATTAGGAAAAAGAAGGCTTTCAGGAGACTGAAAATGCTGGACTTCAGGAAAAATCCTGAAAACTTTATTTATATCTCTACTTCTCAAAATGTCAAAAAAGTAAATGTCATTTCATTGAACTGTTTACTAATTTGAAGATAATATGTGTAAACGTGAGAATAGCTGAGTAGGTTTGGTATTCCTTGGATTCCAGGTTAGTGTCATGGATGTGTTGGAAACTTTTCTCAACCTGTGACAAAAATACCTACCTTCATTTAACGCTAGGACATAATATAACCGTACAACTGAACAAGCGTAGGCAATTTTTATGTTGACATCCAATAGGCTTATTCAGGAATTAAGAATATTTTGGGTTTTTCCCCATCTAATCCAGGTACACAATCAGATACAAAACAAACTTTTACAGTTACAGCTTCGAAAATAAGTGCAACTAATCTATTGTGACAGGTAGTGCACAGTGAAGCTATTACAGTAAGTTTGTTTGTACAGATTAGCTCTGGGAAAAACCCACATTTGCAGGGCTCCAGATAACATCTATTAGCAGCTGATTCATAATTGTAAGTTTGAAACTCACATTTATGCTGTTATAACACAAAAATACGGTAATAAATTTTCATAAATATGCTTATAATTATCATGTTAATTATATATTATATATAATGTCTAACATATTTACCATATATAGTTTGATGCTGCCTCACAGAACAGTGTAAGTAGACTAAACACTGGGTGTATGGTACTCTCTGGAGTCTGTTGTAGTAAATCCAGGAACACCTTGAGTCCACAGTTAGGTCCCATATCACATAAAAACCTCCACAAGATGGGCAGTAAGATCTCATTATAACTTAACCCTACAAATGATCAATGTTTTTTCTGTCTTAGCATGATTACAAAACATTGTTTATTCAATTCTATAAACACACATAAAAAAGCCTCTTAATCTTAATAACATGTCGTAACTAAACAGTAACTAGACCTATCACTGAAGGTGATTAATACCCCCACCAGCAACTTTGAATTTTGAAAAAAAAGTAGTCTGAAGAAAAATTTGAACAAAAACTATCAACTGTGTACAAAGAAATATTTCAATTAATTGTAATCACAACTGGGGTCTTGAAATAAGCTTGCTATACACCAAGTTTGATTACAATATCTCATTCCTAACTCTAGTTAATGTCCGGAAACCATTTTTCTATTTTAAATAACACTATAACGGTGACCTTGACCCTAGGGGGTCCAAATGCAATACCAACCCAGGTCTTCATATAAGCTTCCTATACACCAAATAAGATTATAATATCTCATTCCTAACTCTAGTTATTGTCCGAAAAGCATTTTTCTATTTTTCGTAACAGTGACCTTAACCTTGACCCCAGGGGGTTCAAATGCAATACCAACCAAAGTCTTCATATAAGCTTGCTAAACACCAAGTTTGATAACAATATCTCATTCCTAACTCTAGTTATTGTCCGGAAACCATTTTTCTATTTTTAGCAACACTCTAACGGTGACCTTGACCCTAGGGGGTCCAAATGCAATACCAACCCAGGTCTTCATATAAGCTTCCTTTACACCAAATTAGATTACAATATCTCATTCCTAACTCTAGTTATTGTCCGAAAACCATTTTTCTATTTTTCCTAACGGTGACCTTGACCTTGACCCCAGGGGGTTCAAATGCAATACCAACCCAGGTCTTCATATAAGCTTGCTATATGCCAAGTTTGATAACAATATCTCAATCCTAACTCTAGTTATTGTCCGGAAACCATTTTTCTATTTTTAGTAACGGTGACCTTGACCTTGACCCCAGGGGGTCCAAATGCAATACCAACCCAGGTCTTCATATAAGCTTGCTATACACCGAGTTTGATTACAGTATCTCATTCCTAAGTCAAGTTATTGTCCGGAAACCATTTTTCTATTTTTAGTAACAGTGACCTTGACCTTGACCCCAGAGGGCCCAAATGCAATACCAACCCAGGTCTTCATATAAGCTTGCTATACGCCAAGTTTGATAACAATATCTCATTCCTAACTCTAGTTATTGTCCAGAAACCATTTTTCTATTTTTAGTAACGGTGACCTTGACCTTGACCCCAGGGGATCCAAATGCAATACCAACCGGAGTTTCCACATAAGGTTGCTATATACCAAGTTTGATTACAATACCTCATTCCAAACTCTAGTTATCGTCCGGAAACCATGATGTGGACCGACCGACGGACCGACCGACGGACCGACCGACCGACAAGCTGACTCCTATATACCGCCCCTAAACTTCATTTGTGGGGGTATAATTACCAATTTCAATGCAAGTGACTAACTACATGTACTAATCCCACATGATTTCTGAGTTAGTGGTAAGACATATGACCATTAAACTTAATGTCCAAGATATGAGCCGGTTACGACAAAATCAACATAATGGGTTTGCGACCAGCATAGATCCAGACCAGCCTCCGCACAGTCTGATCAGGATCCATGCTGTTTGCTTACCAACCCTATTACAAGTAGAGAAACTGATAGCGAACAGCATGGATCCTGATCAGACTGCGCAGATGTGCAGGCTGCTCTGGATCTATGCTGGTCGCAAACCCACTATGTTGGTTTTGTCGTGACACGGCTCATATTGTTATGAAAATTTTGCCTTGCCCAAATATCAAAACCCTTGATTACAGATCCAAAGCTTTCCCTATTGTGCTATGTGGGTTTACACCTATATTCATCAACAAAAACTTCTTCTACATACCACTGACTATATCAAGTCTAAGTTGAGACAGGGTGTTCATGGCACACTGGTACAAGGCACATGGTAAGCAGGTTGACTGGGCTATAGTGCTGCCAAGTTTGATTTTTGAGACAGCATTTTTGGAGGATGCTTTATCTAATGCCTTCTTAAAAAGTCCTGAAATAAATCAATATCCATTTTACTTTAAGTTCAAAGATTAAAACTCAAATAATATAATATGTTGAACAGCCAAAGTCATATATTATGAGTAAAGCAGCCTCTAGATTTTTTGCTAAGAATAATTAAAGCTAGCATGACTTATGAGGCAATTACAATTTAAAACTAGAAATGTGTCCATAGGACACGGGTGCCCCCACCGCCCCACTGTTCTGTCAATCTTTTTACTAAGTCAAGGGAAATAACTCTACAAATACTGGATAAATCCACAAGCGAAACCCCAGGTGCAAATCTAAAATATGCTGAGCAACCTGCCCATAAGGTTTAATGACTATGTCAAATCCTTTTTGAGAAACTTGCGACTTAAGTTGAAAATTGCAAAAATTTTCTAAGTGAAGGGCAATAACTCTAAAAATACTATATAAATCCAGACGAAAATACCTGGTACACAACTGCACATGCTGATCAATATCCTGTAAAGTTACATGACTCTAGGTCAAATACTTTGTTAGTAACGTGAGACACAAGTTAAAAATTGCAAAATTTTACTAAGTCAAGGGCAATAACTCTGAAAATTCTAAAAATATCCAGACGAAAATACCCAGGTGCACAACTACACATGCTGATCAATATCCTGTAAAGTTTCATGACTCTAGGTCAAATACTTTGTTAGTAACGTGAGACACAAGTTAAAAATTGCAAAATTTTACTAAGTCAAGGGCAATAACTCTGAAAATTCTAAAAATATCCAGACGAAAATGCCCAGGTGCACAACTACACATGCTGATCAACATTCCTGTAAAGTTTCATGACTCTAGGTCAAATACTTTTTGAGTTACGTGCGACACATGTTGAAAATTGCCAAATCTTACTAACTTAAGGGCAATAACTCTGAAAATACTAAAAAATATCCAGATGAAAATACCCAGGTGCACAACTATACATGCTGATCAACATTCCTGTAAAGTTTCATGACTCTAGGTCAAATACTTTTTGAGTTACGTGCGACACAAGTTGAAAATTGCAAAATTTTACTAACTCAAGGGAGATAGTTCTAAAAATACTAAGAATATCCAGACAAAAATACCCAGGTGCACAACTACACATGCTGATCAACATTCCTGTAAAGTTTCATGACTCTAGGTCAAATACTTTTTGAGTTACGTGCGACACAAGTTGAAAATTGCAAAATTTAACTAAGTCAAGGGCAATAACTCTGAAAATACTAAAAATATCCAGACGAAAATACCCAGGTGCACAACTACACATGCTGATCAACATTCCTGTAAAGTTTCATGACTCTAGGTCAATTACTTTTTGAGTTATGTGCGACACAAGTTGAAAATTGCAAAATTTTACTAAGTCAAGGGCAATAACTCTGAAAATACTAAGAATATCCAGACGAAAATACCCAGGTGCACAACTACATATGCTGATCAACATTCCTGTAAAGTTTCATGACTCTAGGTCAAATACTTTTTGAGATAAGTGCGACACAAGCTGAAAATTGCAAAATTTTACTAAGTCAAGGGAAATAACTCTAAAAATACTAAGAATATCCAGACCAAAATACCCAGGTGCACAACTACATATGCTGATCAACATTCCTGTAAAGTTTCATGACTCTAGGTCAAATACTTTTTGAGTTACGTGCGACACAAGTTGAAAATTGCAAAATTTAACTAAGTCAAGGGCAATAACTCTGAAAATGCTAAAAATATCCAGACGAAAATACCCAGGTGCACAACTACACATGCTGATCAACATTCCTGTAAAGTTTCATGACTCTAGGTCAAATACTTTTTGAGTAACGTGCGACACAAGTTGAAAATTGCAAAATATTACTAAATCAAGGGCAATAACTCTAAAAATACTAAAAAAATCCAGACAAAAATACCCAGGTGCACAACTACACATGCTGATCAACATTCCTGTAAAGTTTCATGACTCTAAGTCAAATACTTTTTGAGTTACGTGCGACACAAGTTGAAAATTGCAAAATTTCACTAAGTCAAGGGCAATAACTCTTAAAATACTAAAAATATCCAGACGAAAATACCCAGGTGCACAACTACACATAGTGATCAACATTCCTGTAAAGTTTCATGTCTCTAGGTCAAATACTTTTTGAGTTACGTGCGACACAAGTTGAAACTTGCAAAATTTCACTAAGTCAAGGGCAATAACTCTGAAAATACTAAAAATATCCAGACGAAAATACCCAGGTGCACAACTACACATGCTGATCAACATTCCTGTAAAGTTTCATGACTCTTGGTCAAATACTTTTTGAGTTACGTGCGACACAAAAGTGAACAGACGGACGGACGGAAGGACGGACGGACGGACGGACAAGGGTAAATCTAAATGCCCGCCACTAACGTGGGGGCACAAAAAAACCCTAAAATCTGTCAAAATATATCATAATTATCTTGAATAAGTCACAGACTTAGAATACTGTATTTCAAAATTGTGTTCCTTAAGAAATAAGGACAGCATTTTTTTTTTTAAATTTTAAGTGAAATAAACAAAGTAAGAGTCATATGATTATTTTCAGCTTTTTGTTGGGTGGCTTTTTTTGCTTTATCTAAGAAACAAACAGGCATGTGAGAATAAATGAAAAAGTTAAAACTGTAACGCATAATTATGTTAACCTTTATCTTTGGATGCAGCTTTTTGTGTGTCTATCTCTTTGGCATAGTCCACATAATCTATAAGTTCTAGAAACAACAATCGTACCATCTTACTACACCATAGTATCTGTAACTGCTTTACAACAAATGGCATAGCTTCATGTAATCTAAAAATAGAATGTGCATAATTGAATGTTTTCTAAAAATAGAAATGACTTTGGAAACAATTCATAAATCATTATCTATTGCACAAAGTCATCAGTATCCGACGTTTCGAGAGGTAAACCAATTTATTTTATAAATCATATATAAACCTTTTTCATACAAGTACATTAATTTACAAAAAAAACTACAGGAAATGACGTTGTTGACATCAACAATGAAATTACGCAAAAATTGATGATGACATCTTCCATCAAATTTGTTAATTTCATTTGCATTATGTACAAAAAAGAGTATCTATAGCTCTAAAAGAACCATATATATCTATTAATTAAATTTTATTTCATATAAAATTACCACAACATACCCTTGGTCAGTTTTCTGAGAAAACCATCCCAGTACAGGATGCCAGTGTGTTAGATTGGATCTCTTATTTTGTACATAGTTTTTACATTTGTCCAGCAATCGTATTGTCACAGTCTAAAATATAAGAAAATATAAACTTCTATAAATGTCCTGCCATGGCAACAATATTAAATCAGTTGAACAGAAATATGTTTCATCTTAAATTATGTATATATTATGATAAAATCTGATTGACTATTCAATACAGTTATAGTATTCACCAAAAACTTTAGCAAAGAAAATTAAAAACTTAAAATTCTCAGACAAACATAATACAAAGCACACCCAATCATTGCATGTACTGGTACACCATTGTGGTATCTTTATACTTAAATATAGAATCCATTTATTTGTTTCTGAAGAATGCCTGTACATGTACATAGATGTTTTTTTCTGTCTTACATTTGTTGCTTCACCTTTTAAACTTTGAAACAAATGTAAGCTTGTTCCGCAGTATACCTTCTAGTGTATAAATGATGCACACAATAGAAGATGAATTATATAAATATATCATCTATTTTGCAGAAAAAATACAGTGCAAATAACAATCCATTATTTTAAACTGTTATTGAAAGCATGTCAAACTTAATCAAGATGTTATTATAATTAAAAGAAAGTTTTGTTAATTATTTTAAGAGGATAAGATTTGATCACCATAAAACTGTTTGTATTTTCCACCAAGCCTTCTAACTCCGAGTAACCAAGCTGTATCAGGTTTGCTGAAAATTAAAACATTATGAGGGTTGACCACAAAACTACAGTATCTTAGTGTAACCTAGACACTAACACAGACGTCTAGGCAAGTACAATAGCTCTCCCTATTCTTCAAATAGTCAGGTTAATAAAAACTTTAAATATATAGAGGATATTTGTTTAGTTCAGTGTAAGATCAGAATATATTTCACCAAGTGAGCACCTAAAGGTATATTTCAAGAGTGGCGCAGCCACGAGTGAAATATGAACTTTTGGTGTTCACAAGGTGAAATATATCTCGATCTTACACTAAACTAAACAAATTTTCTTTTTATTATATGCAAAGAAACGTTTTAAAAAGACATTTAACCTAATACTGAATGAAAAGCGCGCCAAATAATAATACAACGTGACGTCATTTACAACGTCACGTCATTAAGTTGGTACCCAGTACTGTGCACGCTGGTATTTCACTGAAACAACGTAAGGGGCTTAAATTCAAAGCAATGAAATTATCAAAGTGGTAATTTCACTGTTTCAAACAGTGAAATTACCAGTTTTAATTCACTGATATATTTCTATAAACAATCGAAAAGCATGTAATAAAGAGTTATTATATCATACCCAGCAAACACAGTGCATAGTTTCCCTCTAGTGAATTGAATATTATCCTAGTACTCTGTTCATTTGTCAATAAATCCAAGGATCTCTTGAACACCCTGTTTGTTATCAGGTGGGTCAGGCACTGGAAAAGAAATTATATTATAGTGCTAGTTTTTATACATATTTATTCAACAAAAATTATCATACCTGCCCATCTCTTATTATGTGCATTAAGTACTTATATAAATCTGGCTGGTTTGTTAGGAAAAAAAATGATACCATCAAAGAATCCTGTATTTTGTTCACATATTATTTATCCAATTTGAAATAAGGAATTTAGACAATCCACATTTTAACTCTGATGATAAAATATATTATGGAGTGAGAGGATTGGTGTAGTAAGAAACACATGAAATTTAAACTAAGAAAAATATCTTTCTTTGGAAGTTCAGCATTAAGTCGTATAGACACTGCAAAATGATTTTACTACTTAACTTGTAGACTATGACGTCAGATTGCTTGATCTGAGGCTAAAGCAGGCATTTTAGTATAACTACCAAACTTCATTAAGGTAGCTGGGGCTACCAGATGTAACAAAATTAAAGATTTGAGCCCGCAGTGCTGACTGCCAGGTGACCTGATATCAAGGTTATAAAACAATTTTCTGGGTTCAATTAGTTTTATTGGTCAGTGAACATTCTGTGGCACTTTCTGACGAATCAAATACCTTAAATCTGAATTTGAGCTTACAGCTCTTTTTTCATAAACTCAGACCATTGACTATATAAACAAGAAATCTCCTACTACAGAAATATACAAAGTTAAACTTACATCAGGAGCTGTTGTAGACAGGTGATGCACTAACGCTGGTACTGACAAGATGTTTAATACAAACAGTGTTAACAGATTGTCTGAGAAATTTGCTGCTAATAATGGTCTGAAAATAAAATAAAATACAGAATACAAAGATGATTACTACAATCATACGGTGGTTATTTGTTTACAAGGAAATATTCAATATAATTAAATGGTAACTCAAAGTTATGAGACCTGTACCAACCAAGTCAGATAGTCACAGAGAACAACCCTGTGGAGTTTCAACCCATTCCCTTGAGTACTTTTGGAAAAACCATCTTGCACACAAAATCTTAACCAAAGTGTGATGCAGTGATGCAAAGTTGAGTTCAATAACTCTCCCTATTCTTTGAATAGTCAAGTTAAAATACAAGGTACTACTATATGCATTATTCTGGGCACAAGCAAGCACTGGACTAAATCAATCAACCTTATATTGGCTAGTTATTACACTGAAATAATACCAAATCCCAGATGGCATTCAAAGCTACAAATAGGATTATGATTTGAAGTAAAGAACTTTAACCACTTGGACAAGGAGGCCTACTTGTTTTATGTACTAGAAGAAAATTAAATAGATAAATATATATACCTGAGTGATATAGTAAGAACAGCTGTTAAGGATGTTTTTGTAAAGGCTGGTTTACTTCTTGCTAGACCTCTTACTAGCAGTATCTATAAATAGAAACAACATCATTACATATACATGTGAAATACTTGGTCAGGTGTGGTCTTACCAAGGGTTGTGCCTTGGATGCAGACATCATTGCCATCTACATTCACCACGCTCCCTCTGACATACATACACAAGTGGCAAAATACAACAGAGATATTGCAAAAATTTCATGAAATTGAAACTGGCTTGAGCTCCTCAACAGATATATCTTTGCTCTGTTCTATATAAGCATGACAAATCCATAAGCACATTTTAGAAGGCTTACCTTGGTAAAGTAACTTGCATGGAAGTTAATGTTTTCTCCTCTGTAACTTTTTTCTTTAAGTAGCATGTGAATGTACAACATGCCAAAATGATGTCATGTTAAGAATGCACTTCATTTATAAAATGCTCTTAACTGATATCATCTTGGAGCACGCAGACAACTCAAATGCCAGATGAAATTTCCAGCATACGAAAAACTAACAAAAAAACAAGACTTAATAGTCAGACTTTGATATGTAAAATAAATCAAAATGTATACCTGTAAAGCTGGGTAAAGGCCTTTATTATTTAGGTGTCCCATAATGTTGTTGCATAGTTGATTCATTCCAGCAGTAAGACCCTCACCTACATTATATAAAATAAATTTCAAAGAATCAAATGAAGATAATCAACATTAAGCATTTATTTCTTATCAGTTAACTTTCAAGTCGGGATTCAAAATCCACAGTAGTGAGAGGCTAGTGGTTTGAAGTCAACGACCTTAACCACGCGGCCATGGATTCCCCGCAATTAGCAAGTAAAACTTCACAATTCATTGAAAATGTTAACACTTCTTAAATCTTCTTTAGCTTTCATGATGTTTGTTACTTTGGTTTTCTTTGTATAATCTTGATATTTATATAAACTTTATATACAGCTGCTGTTAATTTATGAAGCAATTTCATTTTCTTCTCAAATAAAAGAAGTTTGCTGTATTATAAATTTGAAGATTCTACAACCCTATATAAATGGATGTATGCAATATAACCCTTACAGGCAGCCTGGGCTATATATATCAACCATTTAGAAAGAGCCATATTATCTGTCAAAAATTTTCATAACTAATAGCGTATAAGTTCATCATTTCACTCTAAGAAGATATTTCATGTTATTCCAAAGTACCTTTTCCTTTAATAATTTTCCATGTGGCTGTATGTGTAAATGTTATTAACATTCTAAGGTACACCATCATTATCTTCACATCCACATGGTTCTCTGGCTGTAAATATGCAAGAAGTATATACCCCTTTAATTAGTTAAAACATATTTATTTAAACTTGATTGTGAAACAAGTTCTTGCAACTTATATCAATCACTTTTGAGTCCGCTTCCTGCAACCAACCAGTACTGGTGTCATATGATGGAACATGGTTGTGATGCAATTAGGGCTCTCACCCATGATCCCTGGGTTGAGAGGCAGACACCATAACCACTTGGGCAATGCTCCCCTTTAAATTATTGAGACATTTAAACCATATACATGGCCAATGTCAATTTATGAAGTAAGTTCACTTTTTCTTAAACAAGATATGTTTGTAAAACATACATGCCCCCTATCGGCAGCCAATGAGTCATGTGATCAGGTTATTATGACTAACTTTTGAGCTATTGACCAAAAAATCAATAAGGGTTAATTACTAGTCATAAAGGTAATAAGGTTGTGTGCAGCAATTTTATAACAAAGTTATTTTAAATCTTACCAAATAATATATGCATTAATTTCATGAATCATGTAGGCCTCATTAATGACAGCCAAGTTGTTATATTACATAAGACCTTGAAATGTGTATGCCAACATTTAACAAACAAAAAAATAAAAATCAACCAAGGCAACTTGTGTCATTGAGTTATTGGTCAGAAACAGTCTTTACATACAAGGTCAATATGACATTGACCTTTGACCCTTAAATCAATAGGGGTTATCTACTGGCCAAGACCAATGAACCTGTGAAGTTTGAAGGTAAAGGGCCCATGAGTTGGGATACTTATCAGAAAGCGTTGTTACCTATAAGGTCAATGTGATCTTCACCTCTGATCCCTTAACGCTAAAAATACATAGAGGTCATCTTCTGACCAAAAGCAATGCATCTGTAAAGCTTGCAGGTCAAGGGTCTATGGGTTGTCCAATTGTTGATGGAAATCCATTTTGAATGCAACCTTGACCTTTGTTCCCCTGACCCCAAAATCAATAGGGGTCATCTGAAGACCATTGCACTAACAAAATTTGAGGGCCAACAGCCCATAGCTTGTCGATTTATTGATTGGAGACCATTTTTACCTACAAGGTCAATGCAACCTTGATCTTTGACCCCAAAATCAAAAGGGGTCATGTACTGGTCAAGTCAAATGCACCTACCAGGTTTAAGGGCCAACAGCCCATGGGTCGTCAAGTTAATGATTGGAAACCATTTTTACTTTCAAGGGCAATGTGAGCTTGACCTTTGACCCCAAAATGAATAGGGGTCATCTGCTGGTCATGAACAATCATCATACCAAGTTTGAAGGTCCTAGGCCTAAGCGTTCTTCAGTTATTGATCAGAAACTGTTTTTACCTACAAGGTCAATGTGACCTTGACCTTTGACCCATTGACCCCAAAATCAATAGGGATCATCTGCTGATTATGAACAATCATCATACCAAGTTTAAAGTTCCTAGGCCTAAGTGTTCTTCAGTTACTGATTGGAATACATTTCAACCTACAAGGTCAATGTGACCTTGACCTTTGACCCAAGATTGAAATTCCTAGCCTAAGCATTCTTTAGTTATCACACGGAAACCATTTGGTCTATGGACCGACCGACAGACAAATGCAAAGTAATATACCCCCACTTCTTTGAAGGAGGGCATATGAAAATAACTTGTATATGCTACCAGTAAAGAGCTAGGCTAACCTACATATCCATGCATTCTGACAAGGCACTGTACTGCTGGGTACCAAAATTTTAGAACTATGGAAACAATTTTATAAATAATCTTTGCTTGCAAAAATTTTACCAATCTCCCAACATTTTCGAGAGATTAAACCCCTCTTTATCAAGTAGCTTACTGTTTATATTGAGAATTACATATATATAAAACCTCCTTATTTTCTTATTCAAACAACTAACATCTAGCCATTTTGATGACAGATATTTGGCCACTGTTTTTTTTCCAATTTCAAGGAGCAATTTCCCAACACAAGAAAAAAAAATACCAAAAATTGAAATGAAATTTTAAGCAATCTTGACTGCAAGGTGCCACAGCACAGAGTATTATTTAATATTCCAAGTTTTGAAACTTTTAATATAAATAGCAAGGTAACAAAGGGAGATAATTATGACAAAATTCTGTCAAGAGTTGTAGAACTTGGTTCTGACCTTTATCTGTTTCAAGCATAGGACACACTTCCAGAGTATGTCCTTCACCTGTTGTATCCATGATAACACAAACTGCTTTAACAATGACACTGACACATAGGATATCTGTAAATAAAACAGAACAGGTCAATGTAATACAACTCTAAATTGTGTTATATACATATATACTAGCCCATATGAAGGCTAGTGGCAAATATGACTAGCCTAAGCCACTAGCATGAAAACCCTTAAAGTCAGTTAAAACAGTTTCAAATAACTCCACTGAAGTTAAAAAAGAAAAGATAAATTTGATTTTTTTCGGACAGACCAACTGGAGTGGGTCACTTTAAGGGACTCCAATATGGTCTTCAGACACCATGGTACTGGAGATAATTTTTCGATATCATTGTTTCATTTGATGTAGGTCTAGACCAGTAATGTGTGTGCAAAATTTCTGATCATTCCTATTCTAACTGTGATAAATGGCCCAAAATCAAAAGGCGCTGCAACATTTTTCATTCAAATAGGGCTTAGAATGGCAAAAACATGCAGTTTTCAATTTATTTCAATTTTCAATTTATTTCACAGTATATTTTGTTGTATTTTTTTGCATATCTTTCTGTGCTATCTATGTAAGAAATTCAAATTTTATGTTTTTAGGCTTTTGGACCTCAGTGGAGTTCCTTTAAAACAGAAAGATGTGCAAAAGTTAATATTAAAGGAATAGTTGAAAGTTGAAAATCACATCTTTGTGGGATTCTTAGTCCAATTTGAGTTTGAAGTGATTATAGGGTTTAATTTTTGTGTCATTTTTCGCAACTAAAATAATCATTCTGGAAAAATGGAGAGAGCAAAAGATCTGACATATTAAGCACAAGTTATTCGTTCAAATGGTTAATCAATCTTGAAAAAATATTTCCAGTGCCTGTCATGTAAAAATAACCTGAGGGGAGTCCCTTTAAAAGTTCCACTTCCCATTATTCAAATTTCAGTAAGTCTTTAAGCAATATGGTCTAACTAATACCATAATATAAAAACATTTTTGCAAAGACAATTAAATTTAACATGTTAAAAGCTGTTAACTAAAACACCAGAACAAATTTAGCTAATAGTAACATTACCTTCAGATCATCTGAATCCATGGTGGCCAGCAAATACCTACATAACAACTCCAGATACTGAAATAATTAAAATCTTGAATAAAAAGAAAAAGACCCATGTGAATATCAATAACAGCAAAAGTGTATTAACATTTTCTGCATCCAGGAATTATAATCATTTCTGACTCCTCTACCAGGAACTAACCAGTTATGGAGTCATGTGTAGAAAATATAGTCCTGACTGGAGTGGAGCTTGAACACACAACCCTTTAGTTGAAATACAGTCATGTCAACCACAGCAGTGAAATAATTACACTGTAAAAATATGTTTCAACAATCAACCTCAATATGTAAATATATTGAAAGTTGAACAGATACATACAAAGTCAGAACATTATTTCCTAAAAGTGTACACAGTTCAGAAGAGCCAATCAACTGCATCAATCTTTCTACAACTCACCAAGTACAAAAAGGTAGCCTGACCTTATTTTACCTTGTCATTAACTCAGACTTTATTGGTTTTCATGGGCAATTATACACATTTTGTAAAATGGTATAACACAACTTTTCTCAAATATTTTGTTCTTTTAGAACACTTAAAGATCCTGTAAGTTGTAAATCAATTTATTTTATATGGTTTTATATCATAAATATAATGCTCAAATGAAGATTTATCAAAATTGTAAGTTTCAAAAAGCATTATTTGTAAAGATATTATCTAATTTACATTTCATGTTAATAAAGGGAAGTAATTAGAAATTTACTTTCTATAAAAACCAAGTCAACTTTTCTAATAAGAAATGAATGCATATATTTTACTGATTACATATAATGTGGACAAATATTTGTTTTAGAAGCATAATTATATACACACATATAAAATTCCACTTAAGTGTGGTAACAACCTTAATTACAAAATACAGGATCTTTAATAAATAGAATATAATTTTCTACATACATGGCTATCAGCGCCATCAGAGTATGTAAACAGGAATCCTCTGATAAACTTGTACACCTCCAGTGCTGAAAGTAAATAACAACAAACCTCAAAACATGTACATTTGCTAATATCTATGTATTACATGTACACATGTACATATTTTCCACTTTTAAAATTAATAAAACTGTATGAAAATCTAAATTATAAATACAGCAATGATGTTAATCAATATATAAGTCTAGAGCTGTCACTGGGTCAAAGCAAAGCATATCGATGATTTAACTATATCAGATTATGCTTATTAAAGTGCCATCATTATGCTCATCCAAAATTCAGAAAAGTAAAACATTTGATCATAAAGTAAAAAAGAGAAAATAAGAATTCCTAAAGAAAGTCCAACATGGCAAAATTGAAAATGTTGCAGACTCGGTTTGATTGAGCCTGTTCATGGACGGTACTGTCAAGTACAAACTACCATCCACGCTCCCTAGCACAGGCTTTAGCAGAATTCAACATATGTCATAAGATGGGATAATTGATGAAGCTTATATACAGTAGGACCACTTCATAGCAACAATCATGGGAAAACAAACATTTGGTTTTTTACATACAGGTGCTGCTCTAGGTCTTACTTTTTGCAGAATTAATACAATTGGTGTAAAGAGGTCATTGCTGTACAGATGGACACATTGTTGAGATTACACTGTAGATGCAATTTCTCTTTCTTTCATTTTTGAAAAAAAAGTTACCTGGTTTGAAATTAGGTGTGTATTCACCATCATCTGTAGCCGGTTTATTTATCAAATCTTCAATTTCCTTTCTGTAAGTGATAATATATATATTATTCAATACAATAGTGCCATCAAATTTTTTCTGATTTAACAGGTAATCATTACCTTGCAAAATATCTTGAATGAACTTGTCCATCTTACAGTCTGGACAAAACCATTCATCATTTTTAGGGAAAATTTCAAAATATTTAAAATGACTGATAAGAAAACAGTGATCATTATCTGCACTGGTAGTATAGGTTACCTCTTGCATGGCTATGGCATAGTTCAAGTAATTGGGCATAGTTCAAGTAATTGTACTAGCTAGTAGCTTATGATGAAAATCAGATGAAATTTCTTCCAATCCATTTTCGGTTCATTTGGATGGGATATAATTGATAATTTTACCATTAAAAATCAACTGAACAAGAAAGTAGAGAAGTAAAAAATACTGATAGACTGTATCCAAAATAGTTATGTCACATCGACACAGTATAGGTCATATCGCGACCCTCCAGCTTTACTGGTGGAGGAAGACCTCAGGTGCCCCTTCGTGCATTATTTCAAGCACGAATGGGCACCTGAGTAGAACCATCGACATTCCGTAAGCTAGCTGAATAGCTTCCTCACATGAAAGAATCCAAAGACCCTGTCAGGATTCCATTGCACAGCGGTGAGGGGCAAGTGATTTGAAGTCAATGACCTTAATCATTCGGCCACGGACGCCCCTAACAAATAAATTAAAAGATGTATGTTGCTATTATAGTCGGCAAAATATAATTTCAAACAAATAAATACAAAACTAATTACCTTATGACAAGATTCAAACTGCGTCTGGATTTATATCCTCGATACACACTCTGAAAAGAAATATTTACAAATTAGCTTTAATTGTTTATCTACAAAAATTGACAGCAGACGGTACAATCTTATTTACCCTTACCACCCTTAATATCTTTAATTGACTTGTCCATCTTTCATTATTTTAGCTATTTGAGAATAGCTATCAGTGGAGATCATATAACTAATAAGGCACACACAACTTTTAACCTATCAAAATAATACCTATTCAATTTAAAATGCACAAATCAATTATTATGTGTCTCTCTGTTGAATACAAAGGTGTTCAGCACGTTGATTGGTCACCATCAGCAACAAAAACAAAAATTGTTATCATATAAATTCATTATATATTTTTTTCTTGTTGGAGGAATGTGCTGAACACATGTGTTTGAATATATAGAGGATATTGAATGAGTTTACTGTAGGTTCAAATATATTGAATCTATTGAACAAGTTGAATAAAATTATATTATACGAGCCTCTGGCGAGCAAAATATTATTTTATTGAACAAGTTCAATGAATGCAGTAATGAACCCATATGAATATAATATTCTATTTATCACATACCCAAAATAAAAACTGTTTAAAGTTAAAAAGAATCACCTGTTCTTGCTTTTACATTGACGGGCCTAAAGTGTAACGCTCACATTAATAGTGTGTCTTAATACACATCTTTACACTATGTTTGTATAATGCAAATTACATCACTTCAAAAAATATATGCACGGTCTTGCAGTATCATTTTTACAGAGGACTGCACATGTAGGTATAATATGATAAATGGAAGTGGCTAGCCGTACGGGCCCGTACGGCTAGCCAAAAGTTCTAGCCGTACGTGAGTCACGTACGACTAGCCTGGACACACTGTATTGGCTAGCCGTACGGCACTTTTCAAAATTATATGGAAGACGAAAATGCATATGTTATTTTGTGTCTTTAAACGACGATTTTTATCAAATCTCCGCATTTGTCCTAGTGTGTTCACTTTAATAAAGATGCTCCGCAATTTTGCAAAAAAAAAAAAAATGAATACGAGTAAGCGTTGTATAATCTATCTTAATAAAATTAAGTGTCGAAGTTGCATGTTATAACGTCCTTAATTTTCATGCTTATGATTTGTATGAAAGATGAATTGTTAAATCTGTTAATTAAGCACATGGATCGAATAAATAATGATCAGAGGGGAATAAATAAATAAATAAAAAGAATATTTTTAAAAAAACGGTGAAAAGGAGAAATAATATGTAAGAATGCAAACTTTCCTTAATGATGGACGATGGACAAACTTCTATACCGTCAGTAATTGACGCAATTATCAGAGCCTAACAACAATTATTTTCGGTGTTTTTTTTGTGTTTTTTTTTTCAATTTAAAAATTAAACTTAATGAAACAAAAAAGGATTATTATCAAAATTTTGTAAACTATTTCAATTGATGTCCAAACGCTATTTTTTCTCGACGTCTTGAGATGACTAAGTACATTCTTTACTGTAGCCAACACGTCAATTAATCTCTAAAAAGTAAACATTCTTGACTAAAATCCTCGCTTAAAGTCATAATTAACCTATGCACTTTCTCCTTCCATATATTTTTTAAAAGTGCCGTACGGCTAGCCAATACAGTGTGTCCAGGCTAGTCGTACGTGACTCACGTACGGCTAGAACTTTTGGCTAGCCGTATGGGCCTGTACGGCTAGCCACTTCCATGATAAATAAATATGTATGTTACTTTATCCTATTATCTGTATCAGATTATATTGCACTGCAAGTATAAGTCCTTCATTGAAAGACAGCGCATTTTTTTTTGTTACAGTTTGACTTTTATTGGAAAAGCAGATTTGACCTATGTAAAAAATAGCTTCAAATCCGCGGTTATGTCTAAATATTTGGACTATGCAAGTATCTAAACAGGTTCAACTTTCTTTTTGTCTACAAATTGAAATAATGGCAAATTTTATGATTCGTTCTGCAAGCCTTAAGTTGGAGCAGCATCTGAACACTGACTTCAAACTGGAAGACAGTCAAAGCATGTCTATATTACCTGGTTACTGTAACAGAAAAATACCTGAATTTTAAGAGCAGATTTTTCTCTTTGCTTCTCTAGAGCCCTCTCTTCTCTCTGAGCCTTAGTTTGTTCAAGGAAGCTGTCTTTCTGATGACTGTCAACTTTACTGAACATGATAACTGAATTAAGTTTTGGCTATTACTTATCGTTAACTTTTTGTTGTTGTTTTTTATCGGGTCGAACGAAATTGAGTGCGAATCTACATGATCATAAAAAATTCTGATACATGTTCCGCTACGGATGTAAATAACTATTCAAATGGATAGTGTAGCGAATCAACATTCTTCTATTTTAGAAATACCTTTAAAATCACATAATCTCACAAAAAAAAATCGTTAATTATTCAGAATTAAATATCCTTATAAATTCAGTCGTAATGTGCAATTAATTACACGGAATGTCATATAACGTGGAGAAATGCGGTACGCACAAATAGCGAAAAGTTCACTTGTGCGAAATGTGCAGTGTTTTTTTTTTTTTGCTTTTGTTTTTTTTTATTTGTTTTTTTTTTTTTTTACAAGTTCTCAATAAAAAAATTTAATCTTTATTTAATAATACATGTATTATTATTATTTATTTACGGGTACCACTAAAATACGCAACTGAGATTTTTTGGCGCAACGGACGCAACGGAGATATATTTTAGAAACCGGCACAACGCCTTTCTTAAAGTCAATGCATCTAAAATGATTGTTTAGTACTATTAAATAAATGTTTCATAAATTGTTAATGTTTTATTGCACTGAAGGGTTATATGCCTTGCGAAATGGAAATTTCATGGCGCAACGGATTTTTTTAGAAAAATCAACACAACGCCTTTTTTTTAAAGTTAATATGCTATATTTTAGCATCTTAAAAGATTGTTTAGCTCTATAAGGTAAGTATGTTTTAAAACGTTTCATAAATTGTATATGTTTAATATCACTGAAGGGTTATATGCCTTTCATGGCGCAATGGAGATGATTTTGAAAAATGGGCACAACCTTATTTGAATAAATAAATTTAAAAAAGATATAAAAACCTTAATCATATATCAAATAGCTGCAACTTTGATGTTGTAAAGAATTGTGTGCCGGCGAAATGGACATTTTGTCTGCGCAACGGAGATTTTTTTAGGTGCAACTGAATTTAAAAAGAAAACAACGTTAAAAAATGGAATTAAGTATTGTTGTAAAAGATTTTATGAAAATGGACTTATCCGCACTGCAACGGAGCTGGGATATACGATAACGGGATATGCCACTCGCGCTTTCTTATCAGTGCCAATGTTGGTGTCCAATTGGAATTGATCGATCGATAAGCGCCGTGTTTAAACGCCGTAATCACGGTACATGCCGGATTTATCGGATATATTCCGTGCATAAATTTTCCGGTGATTTCGGGAGGTGGGCATTAAATTAAGAGGCCATCTTTTTTTAAAGGTTATGGGTAAATTTACCGTTTTTTAAATACTTTTTCATTTGATCAATTTTGAAAATATGAATAAATATTAAACAAATACAGAAAAGTATTGGCATTTAAAAGTTTTCTCACATTTTATTATGATAGAAAATTTACGTTTTGTAATAAAAATACGTTCAGAAATACCTTCCAATATATTGTTTTTTTCTGACTTTAATTTATATAAATTATTTGATATCATTATGTCAAATTTGTCAATAAACATACAAATTATTTTGTATTGGGACGGCTTATTAATTATGTAATTAAAGTGTACAGCTGCTATAAACATGATTATAACATGTTATAATTTCTGATTTAATGAAATATCTGACCATTGTTTAATTAAGGTTTGTTTGTAAATGGCCTTATAAAACCTTTTGATGTTCAACATATTTTTCACATATATTTGTAATTATGTTCTTATTCATTCTTGAATAAATTGTTTTCTTACTACACACAACAATGCCCTTTTCAAAAATGCTGTTGAATGACAGTTTTAATTATAACTCAAAAAGATAGAATTTAAGATGCAATGTTCATATATAAAATGAAAACAAAGATTCATATTTGCAAAGGCCACTGTGGTTAAGTTGTAAGCATACTGGTCATCAACCTACATACCCATTGTTAGAGTTCCAGCTTCGACCCATTTGTCATGTGACATTTCTGTATGCATATATATGCATCAGACCAGTGGACAATATATCTGTGATTTTTATACTGAACCACTGACTCATTAAAAGTCTTTTACACTTTTATTAAAAAGCTAGGCAGCATAAAGGACTACCTAGTTGATAAAAAAAAAACACCCTATCAAAATATTACACATTACAAAAGATTTTTTTTTAATATTTATTTCATCTTATAAATATTAGCTGTACAAATGTAAAAATAATTGGAATACAAACAATTTTACTAATACTCGTTGCATACCAACTTTTCATTTCAGGGTATAAAGTTGATATCTTGAATTGCAAAAACAATATTGATGATATATATCATTATTCAATAGTTACATAATCCATATTGTTTTCAAAATGAGATGATATGCGCCAAAAATGCACTTAATTGAATAGTAATAGAAGTGTTTTTTGTTGCAGAATGTTTTATTTCATACAAGTTCATGTGTGTTTAATAATTATAATGGAGAATTCTTTATTAAAACTTTTCAATGAAATAACAAAACGCTGTGAAAACATTCTAATTTTACTAAAAGCCACCAGATTCATCCTAATTTTTTAGAAAATTGTGAAGTGTAAAATATTGTGAAATGAACAAAAAAAGTACTTGACACATTGAAATCGGCACTTATAATCTACATCAATTACCAAACAGAAGTCAAAATATGCATAAATGGCCCCTACTGCGTTAGTAACGCAGTATAAATATGGTGAAATACTGCAAAATACAGTCATTAATTGCACATAAGATATAGATTATCACTTGAATCTTTAATCTGTTAACTTTTTATAAAGTTTTAGTATGTTTTTTTCCAAGTGTAATTTCTTTGGAATATTTTGGGTCATCTGTAGGCATGCGGCTTTGAAATAATGTTTCATCAGATATATGAATGCACAAGTAGGTCAAACTTCATTTTCTCTGTGACACGAATACATATTTTAAACCTTGGCGAATCACTGAATGCAACACTGTCATAAATCGAGATAACTGAATGGCATAAACTTCATTTGTAGAGTGTCCATTTGAATCGACAAATTCATGGTATCTAATGTGACCTTACACTTAGTAACTTGTTCATCATTACTGGTATATCAAGCAAAAAGAAATTTGTGAAGAAATTAAGCATCTGATGGAAAGTTTTCAATCTTCGATAAACCTGCAATTGAAATTCATATTTATTATACAAAGAATAAAGAAATAAAAGACTATAAAAGTGCAAATAACAATTGACACCATGACAGGATATCCTTCATGATATCCAATGACACAGCTAAGGAATCTATAGTTTTTAATAAAGATGTTGTTTTTGTTTTGTTGTTTTCATTCAGATAACAAATTATGGTTTTTAAAAATAAAAAGAAACACTACCTATTTCTAAAACATGTTTTTTCTACTTTTTAAATATCAAACGATTTAACTGCAAATTCATCAATTTATGGTTTGGTCTCAGATTTCACGAAAAAATTGTTGAAATTTGACACTGAATTATGAAAAATCGTACGAAAAAAATGATCCAATTTTACTCTCTTGCTATTAATATGTCTATTTTTTACTAAAAAATAATAACATGGGACACATTTAATTGACGTATAACGTTCATTTACGGGACAAAAATGTACATCATGTTAGCATTCCGCCATTTTATTTACGGATTTTTGTCACAGTTCATAAAATTGGAACCCGTAAAATTTCACTTTAACTCACTAAAGTTCCATAATCTTAATGTTAAACCAAAGATATTTAAATGATCTTTCAAAATATTCTGCCAGTTTTCTTGTAATTTACTTCTTTAAACGAAGTTTTGCAGACAAAAATTACCCTTTCACGGCGATCAACACAACAACATCAGTTCGATTGAGATTTTTATTCTTTCAACAGAACACAGTTTTCACATTAGAAACTTTAAACACCATGTTAAAAATACATCGGATCAATGTCATGATACTTACAGAATTTTTTTATTTACTTTCTGAGGACTTCAACCCCATAAAGTAAACATTCCGATCAATTTTCTTGACGAACATTTCCTCCGCATTGAACTAAATTTGTAAAATGGCGGCGCTGATTCCCGATTGGACGAAAACACATAGGAGCGATAATCTCCGTGTTTCCCGTCCCCTTATCCTATGTCCCAGAACGGAGCTATATTTCAGCGCAAGGGAGATTATTTTTTTTTTTAAAAAGGATACGTCATAAATTACAACTTTGAAAATGGAATTAAATAAGAAAATTAAATGTAGCATCATATTGAAAGTCTGTCTTTAAATCACAATTTTTCGGAAATGGATGTACATGTATTATCGACGGATAAGACAGATAATAGTATATCAGGAAATCAAATAAAAATCTACACAAATTTATGTCAAACCACAGGGATCCTCAATAAGATCTTCAAGTCTGATAAATTATCCCCTGCCACCACCCCCCTCCCCACTCCCTCCAGTCCCTGTTAACTTACAGCCCCCAAAAGTATGATTTAAAGACAATATCCACTATGGTACTATAAGTATATATATATATATATATATATAGGCCTATAGTAATTAAAGTCGGCCTCAGCCCCTTAGCTTATCCCAGGCTTGCAAAGAGAAGCTTATTCCAAAACACCACCCATCTATGCCAGAAGTATCTATATCGAAAGATGGTGTGAAGAAACTTTTAAAAGGCCTAAACCCAAATAAAGCTTCTGATCCTGACCAAATATCCCCTAGGTTACTAAAAGAGCTCCATCAAGAGGTTAATTACTCCCATACTGCATGCATGTACTGACCCACATCTTCCAGATCTCACGTAAAACAGGTATTGTCCCTGAAAGCATGCAATAATTGTCCTAGTTTTCAAAAAAGGCCCAAAATGCAAACCCAGCAATTATAGACCAATCTCCCTCACATGTATAGCGTCCAAATTGATGGAGCATATCTTAGTGTCCAATATTATATGTCCTTTTATGATAAGCACAACATCCTTAGCCCCTATCAACATGGCTTCAGGTCCAAACGGAGTTGTGAGTCCCAGCTAGTAAGCGTCTCCCAGGAAATTCATGACAATCTTGAAAGTGGCCAACAAACTAATATCAGAGTCATAGAGTTCAGTAAGGCATTTGATAAGGTGGGCAATCACAAACTTTAGAGTAAATTGGAAAGATTTGGGTATAAGTCACGAGCCATTCCTTCCTTAAGTCACGCTCCCAGCACGCTTTAGTTGAAGGTAAAAATCAGGAATTCTACCAGTCCTCTTAGGTGTCCCCCAAGGCTTGGTTTTAGGTCCCTGCCT